GCCCGACCGGCGCTCTGTGTGGCCGCGGCCATGAAGCCGCAGCCGCCGGGCTAGGCCCCGGGCGGCTCTAGCCCAGGGTGGCCCGTGGAGGGCCGAGCCCAGCCCCGGCTCCGGTTCCCGGGCCGGCGGGCGGCTGCTCACCATGCCGGGCAAACACCAGCACTTCCAGGAACCCGAAGTCGGCTGCTGCGGGAAATACTTCCTGTTTGGCTTCAACATTGTCTTCTGGGTGAGAGCGGAGTGGGTTCCGGGCCCCGTGCTGGGGGTGTCGGGAGAAGGAGGTTCAGTCCCCTACTTGGTGGGGGGGGGGAACCACTCCCTGCCTTAAGGGCTTGGGACCGTCACCTCCCCCCCCCTTCTTCCCACTCTCACCTCCATACCCACTCCGAGGACCACTCCGGGGAACTACGCGGAGGCCCGGATTGCTGGAGGCGGGCCCCAGGCGCCGCGGGGATAGGTTATGGAGGTGGAGTCTCCCTGTATCTTTCCAAGCCCGGGTGGAGAAAGGGGAGGTGTTTCCTTGAAGGTCCCAGGGACCTATCTCCCGTCCAGCTCCTTTGCTACCCTGGAGTGTGGGGTGTGCGCTGAGCTCCGCCCCTGGTTTAGTCCACAGGGAGGAGTGTCTCCGTGAAGGGAAGGGCCGCAACCCCTTGCCTAGCCTTAAGCTCCTGCAAGGAGGGTAGGTCAATCTGCTCCTTACTGAGAGCTTGCGGGCTGGGAGGGCCAATAGCTCTAGTTCTCTGCTGGGGAGAGGAGACGTCGTGAGCTGGCCCTGGGATAACAGAATTCAACATTCCACAGCTGACAAAACCGAGGCTTCAGGGCGGTGCAGCCCCTGCCAGAGAAGGGAGCTGCTAGTGCCCCTCCCAGGGTGGCATGTGCCCCTGGGCCCTGCCAAGTCATCTTTCCCTTCTCCCTCCCCCATCCCATCTTTCTAAGGCTACTTGCTGCCTCTGCAGTCTCTGTTCCTGCTGCCTTCAGTCAAAATACCAGGCCCATTCAGTTTGTTCAACAAGACTCTGGCACTGCCCTCTACCCATGTGCTAACCATGAAGTCACCTGTATGTGGTGGGCCTTTTGGCTCCAGCAACAGGCAGCTCTCAAGGGTGTGGGCAACGTGCAGAGAGTACTGGTGGGGATGTCTGGAGGCCTGGGTGTAGCAAGCCTAGCTTTGAGACTTCTCTCTGGGCCTTGGCCTCCTTTCCTGGGAGGGGTGATGATAAAGCCCACCCCTCAGGGTTGTTAGGCAGATAAAATGAATTCTAACTTGTATTCGCACAGCTACTTTGTTATTTATTATCTACATTTTATGGATGAGGGAATAGGCACAGAGAAGTCAAGTCATTTAATCTAGAGTCACAAGGCCAGTTAAGTGCAGAGTCAAGGTACATACCAGTGGGCAGTGGGTGGGGGTGAGGCAGAGCATTGAGTAGAGTGAATCGCTGGATGAACCCCCCTCAAGGGGGACAGGCAAGAGAAACTCAGGATTGTTCCAGGCATGCCCACTTTTGCACGGGAGTGGGGCTGGGGAGCCAGAGCAGGAAAGGCCCCAAGGCTGGGACAGTGTTGGGAGTTTTATGTTGAGAGCCCTGTGAAGCAGTGGGGGTTTCAGTGCTGGGTGGTGGGTCTGTTTTGGCTTTTGTATTGGAGGCAGATCTGTCTGCCTTTGCGGGGAGGGTGGGTGAGGGGCAGAGGGCTTGGAAGTTGGGAGACCAGGGAGGAGGGCTGGGGCAAAAATGGGGGGTGCGGAGTGGGAAGTGAGGAAGGCTCCAGGGGAAGTTATGAGGCTGAATTGACAGGACCCCGCCACTTAGGGGGGCCACGAGGTTTCAGGTTTGGGTCCAGGTGGCCAGAGGGAGGTGCCTATCAAACAGGCCCAGAGATTTTTGTTTGTTTTAATGGAAAGTGGACCCTGGTGTTACACTGCTGAGAACCTTCCAGCGATTAATGCAGTCCAGACTCCTCCAGTGGTCTCCAGCACCCTCTGGGGTCTGGCCCTTCTGCCCTTCAGTCTGTCCCTTGCACCACCATACTGGATCTTACCTCTGGGCTTCTGCCAGTCCCTCCACCTGAAATTTTCTTCTCCTCCATACACTTTTTCATCATTCAGAGCTCAGCTAAAATGTCCCCATTTTCCCTAACAAAAGCATGCCTCCACCGCCCCCAGTCACTCCCCACCGCATCACTCTGTTTGCTTTTCTTTAAATGATCTGTTGGTATCTGAAATTACTTTGCTCACTATGGATTTCCCCCACTGGAGTGTAAACTCCTTGAGGGCAGAGAGCTCATTTGTCCTATTTGCTGATGTATTCCCAGTGCATGGAACTGAGCCTGGGACATGGAGGTTTTTGCAGCAGGCAAGTGGACCTAGCCGCTTGGAGCCAGGGAGAGGTTGAGGGGGAGGTCCGGGAGATGCCAGTGTCTGGTGGTGTGGAAATGAATATGGAGGAGGAAGAAGGGCAGAAGGCTGAAGGTGGAACGTGGTGGGGTTGGTGGCCATGTGCGTAGGGAGGTGAAGCAGTGCATCCTGGGAGGGAGGCTGAGAAAGGGTGGAGGGAGGAATGGTGTTGAGTTGACCACGGAGGGGTTCAGAAAGGAGAAAGTAGTGGTCAGTTGCCTGTCTAAAGGCCATGGGTGGGTCAAGTGGGATGAAGCAGAAGTGATGTTTGCTTTCACATCCCAGATCTAGTGTGGGGGGAGGGAGGGAAAGAGATTTTTAGAGAAGACTACTGCAGTGGGAGGAGCCTGGAGTCAGAGAGAGGAAGGCGTTAAAAGTGGGTGGTCGTGGTGGAATGGACTGGAATTGGTGGGGGGAAGGGAAGGAGCCTGTGAAAACAGGTGGGTGGGGAAGGTGTGAAGAGGTGGGGTCATGGCCTTCTGCTGGGGCATGAGGGGCACTCTCCGTCTGAGACTGGATATCCAGGGACCTGCCCAGGCTCAGGCATATGGCCTGGACATCAGGACTCTTCCCAGTAAGGAATTGAGGCAGGATGGTGGGTGGTGCTTAGAAGGTCCAGGCAGGAAAAAAAAAAAAAAAAAGGTCCAGGCAGAACTGTGGCCAGCTGTTTTCAAGGGCAGAGCTACCGGCCCAGATGGGGGTTGCTCAACTGGATCCCGCTTACATCAGGATTCCTTGTCATTCAGGGGTCTTTGCTTGTGAGCTTTGAAAACAGAACAGAGTGGGGCGGCCATCACAGAGTTGCAGGGCACCACGATGGCCAGATTGGGAGGAGGCAGAAAGGAGGCTAAGAGCCCAGAACCGAGAACAGGCTTGGTGGGAGGAGAGGCTCAGGACAGTGCTGTTGGTTCTGCTTGGCAGGGGTGTCCCAGCCACCCTCTGCTGCAGTACTGAGTTCCGGGAAGGGCTAGGGTGGGTTCAATCCTCCAGGCTGTGTTTTGTGGGGGAGAACTGAAATGTGTTCTGGGGGAGGTAGAAAGGACCGTGGACCCCATTTATAGTCCATTCCCCACCCCCACCCCCCACTTTCCAGAGACCCTGACTGCTAGAGGGGGAGGGGCTCTCCTGGGGGGGGGGAAGGATGCTGACACTCCAACCTTTAGCTCTTTGCTGCTGCTTCTGCAGGTGCTGGGAGCCCTGTTCCTGGCCATTGGCCTCTGGGCCTGGGGTGAGAAGGTAAGGTGGTGGAGTCTGGTGTGGGGCTGCCGTAGGTTGAGGTGGTGGGAGGATCAGCCCGACCACTTGCCTCTGCTCCCCTGGCACAGGGCGTTCTCTCCAATATCTCGGCGCTCACAGATCTGGGAGGCCTCGACCCCGTGTGGCTCTTTGTAGTGGTTGGAGGCATCATGTCGGTGCTGGGCTTTGCCGGCTGCATCGGGGCCCTCCGGGAGAACACCTTCCTGCTCAAGTTTGTGAGTGCACCCCCACCTAGATCCACTGGGGACCCCAACCTCCTCCCACTGACTTCTTGCATATAGTTGGTACTTAATAATGGGTGGTTTTATTATCGTGTTATTGTAACAATAGTCATCAGAATTGTATTATCTATATTTATAGGATCCTTTCTGTTGTGACTGAAACCCAGTGGCCCAAGCATAAAAGAGTATTTATGGGCTCACTAAGGAAAGCCCAGGGGTATGCTGGGTGCCAGCACATTTCAATCTAGGGGCCACCACAGTGTCACTTGGCCTGGTCTCTCTGTTTCTCGAGTCTGTCCTTCTAGTTGGCTCCATTCCCCCTGGGGTGGAAGGATGCCCACGAACGGGTGGGGGCTAGCTTCATACTGCCCCTCCGGGAACTCCTAGGAGGCCAAGGCTGTCTCTGCCCAACCAGTGGGCCTGTCCTTTAATTGCATCTCCTTGGTTCAGATTGGCTGTCTCTGGACCAATCCCTGTGGCCCCGGGAGAGGTAGCGCTCTGATTGGTGGGCTCCCGCCGCAGGCCCAGTCCTCTATCAGGAATGGGAAAGGAGGTGGAGATGGTTCTGCCTGAGCCACAGGAGCTGAACACGTACGTGGAGGGTGGTTTCTCAAAGAAAACAGGGTGGTTACCAGGGGAAGCGGAGCGGATGGGTAGGTAAGAACCGCGCTGTCCTTCACCGTCATCAAACAATACTAATAGGAGAGAAGGTGGGGACTCTTGGCTATCTTGGGGTGGGGGTGGTGGGGGGGAGCGCTGCCCTGTGGCATCCCCAGGCCCTGCATCTCTGACGCCCACCATCTGTGTGCCCCCACCCCAGTTCTCAGTATTCCTCGGCCTCATCTTCTTCCTGGAGCTAGCAACAGGGATCCTAGCCTTCGTATTCAAGGACTGGATTCGAGACCAGCTCAATTTCTTCATCAACAACAATGTCAAGGCCTATCGGGACGACATTGACCTCCAGAACCTCATTGACTTTGCTCAGGAATATGTGAGTCCCGTGCCGGCCCGGGCCACCTGCATGAGGCGGTCGCTGGGCAGATGTGTGAGAGAGCAAGTTCCGTGTGTTCTGGGACCGTTCCCCTGCCCACGCCCCAGGGAAAAGAGCCAGAAGGCCCCCTGTCTGAGGCGAAGCCAGCTTCTGTGATCCCTGTAGGTCCCCACTGTGCCTAGTTCTGCAGGGACACAGTGTTGGGGAACAGAGGCCAGAGGCTCCAACCTGGCAGCTCCTAGGCCAGGGTTTACAACACTTAAAAGAGAAAATTTGATATAAAAATACAGATTTCCCCTTCTAAGAAACTCTGGACCCATAGTATTAGCTGGGGTTACATTGCTGCTGTCCCCTTTGCTGGTATAGGAGCTCTCCGTTTGCCATCGTCTGTGCTGCTCTGTATTTTATTATACTTGTTGGCCCTCTTCTCTCATTTATGTTGTCTGTTTGGCCTCTGAACATATTTGAGTTTGAGACCTCCCCCTCTACAGAAGCTCTGCTCTTTTTTTTTTTTTTCAAAGATTTTATTTATTTATTTGACACAGAGAGAGAGATAGCGAGAGCAGGAACACAAGCAGGGGGAGTGGGAGAGGGAGAAGCAGGCTTCCCGCAGAGCAGGGGGCCCTATGTGGGGCTCAATCCCAGGACCCTGGGATCATGACCTGAGCCGAAGGCAGACGCTTAACGACTGAGCCACCCAGGTGCCCCAGAAGCTCTGCTCTTAAATCCTCCTCTACCTAAGCCATGTGAAGAAGCAGTCAGTGAACAGTTCACGAGCTCCCAGACACCTCCCGCCTCACCTTCTCCGCTCACACCCACCTCCACGGTCCCACGTCTTCAGCGCCACCCACCCCGAGTCTGTTGCGGGATCCAGAGATGAACCAGAGCTGGTGCCTGCTTTGAGGAGGTCTCGACTCAGGGCAGAAGCGGACATATAGCCAGGCAGTTAGGATGTGATTGATTTGTTCATTCAAAACAGACTGGTGCAGACTTACTGTGTGCCAGGCCCTGGGCCAGTTCCTGGGAGTTTGTTCAGTGGTGACAAAAGCTGGGGCCTGTCCTTTGGGGGATGGCAGTCTGGGGGCAGAGACAGATGATATGGAAAATGGACAACTGTATGTGCGTGTGTGTCTATGAAAAATAATAAATTGTGCTATGAGCTGAAATGGGGAAGGGTGGAGAAGAGGAAGGCCTTGGAGAAGGAGCGGCGCTGTGGAAGGAGGGGCAGATGTTTCCCGCAGGCGCAGCAGTGCTGAGCAGAGCGAGAGGAGGACGGCAGAGGCAGGCTGTTCGCTGGGACCCATGCACACACAGCCACACGGCCGTGCCCCGGCCCCTTGGCCCATGGGGGCCCCCCCGTGTCTGCGCTCAGCTGGTCCCTTGAGGGCCAGCTTTCCGTGTCACATGGGTTAAGACCTGTGTTCCCGTGTGCCGCAGTTCACGAGCTTTCTTCAGGGCGGCGTCTAGGGTGGCAGCGCTGGATGTGATGGGTGGGGTGATGGGGATATTGGGTGCTGCCAGCAACATCGAAGAAGTGGGATGTGATTGCTGTGAGGGTGGCAGGGTTGCTCCTGTCCCTGCAGAGAGGACGAGAGAGGGTCTTCATAAAATCTCTGGGGCAAGTGTGGGGAGACTTGGCACAGACACGGGCTTCAGTGATGCCTCTCCCCATAGGCCTCGGCCTAACACCCACTTCTCAGGGCACCCCTCCCCGGTCCCCCCTGCTCCCACCAACCTGGGCAGGAGCATAGTGCTGCTCTGACGGCTCTCGGCTGAGGTCCAGCCTTTCTGTTGGGGGGTGGCGAGGAGGTGCCCACCTGCCTAGCTGCCTCCAGACCCCCTCCCAGCCCAGCCCTACCCTGTCTTCTGCAGCCTGGGCCTATCTCCAAACTGGATGGGGCTCCTGGGGTGGGCCTGGCTCATCTGGGGCTCTCCTCTCGCCCCTTAGTGGTCTTGCTGCGGAGCCCGAGGGCCTAATGACTGGAACCTCAATATCTATTTCAACTGCACTGACTTGAACCCGAGCCGGGAGCGCTGCGGGGTGCCCTTCTCCTGCTGCGTCAGGGACCCTGCGGTGAGTGGGGCCCGGTGAGGAGGGGCAGGAGCATCACAGTGCACAGGCCAAGTCTGGGGAGAATCCACCAGAGGGCTTGCTGGGCTCGGCCCTGCTCTGGGGGCCTTGGATGCTGGGGGGAGGTCATTTTACGTGGGAGTCCTCCTACTAGGCTGAGGACTTTGTGTCCATGGGCAGCAGTGGGGCCTGCCAGGGTAGGGGCTGCACCCCTTCAGCAGAACCTGTCTCTTTGATTGCAGCGAGCCAGCTGCCACACCCCTGGGCCACCATTCTGGAGTGGCAGGGCGTGGGGGTTCTCACGCCTTTATGGCTTTCTTTAGAGCAGAAACTTCTCCCAGGGACATCTCTCCCAGCACAGCTCACCTGGGACACTGAGGGCCACGCCTCTTCCCATTCTTACAACACACGGGCAGGCAGGATTCCTAAGCAGGAGGCCGCTCAGGCTGGCGTTTGTGGCTGTGTGTCCTGGCGCCAGGGAAAGAGGTGCGTGGGCCTCAGTGAGCCTCACGTAGGAGTGGTGGGCGTGGCAGAGTCCATGGCTCCATCTGCTTCGCCTGAGAAGCCGGAACCTTTGCAGCGCTGGGCGCCTTGGGCCCCTTCACCAAGTCTCTCATTGGCCTGTTTTTTCTCAGGAAGATGTCCTCAACACCCAGTGTGGCTATGATGTCCGGCTCAAACTGGTGAGAGGGGTGGGGACAGAGTTGGGGGCACTGGGAAGGGAAGGGCAGCCTCCCATAAGCTCCTCTGAAAGTCCTCAGGGATTCTGTGGGGGGAGGGGGTACTGAGTTCTAGGAGCCATCCAGGCACCTGGGCCTTGGTACTGCCGATCATGGGGGCAGTGGACCCGTGGGCACAGACACGTGTGTGTTTGCTCGTTTCAGTTCTTTATCAGGCACCCACTGGTGCTCACAGCTGGCAATGCCCTAGACGCTGGGGATTCATGCTCAGGAGATAGGCAGACAGAGCCCCTGCTCTCAAGGAGCTCCCACTCCAGTAGAGGGGACAAAGACAGTAAGCTCACAGATAAACACATATGAACAGTAATGTGACAATTTCAGTCAGGAGCTTGGGAGAAAATAAAGTAAGGGAGCTGTTGGGATTGGGGCTGGGTGGTCAGGGAAGGCCTCTTGGAGGAGGGGGCATCTTTTCTGAGACCCTGATGACTAGAAGGAGCGTGTCATGCCAAGGCCTCGTGGCAGAGCTCCATCCAGGCAGCATGTGCCAAGATGTCAGGCCCTGGTGCGGGGATGAGCTTAGCAAACTGGACTGAGAGGAGGCCCGTTGGGGGGCGGGGTGGGCCAAGCCCCTTGCCTGTGTGTCCCCAGGAGCTGGAGCAGCAGGGCTCCATCCACACCAAAGGCTGTGTGGGCCAGTTTGAGAAGTGGCTGCAGGACAACCTGATCGTTGTGGCTGGGGTCTTTGTGGGCATCGCTCTCCTCCAGGTACTGTCCCAGCACAGCATGCCCCCCCCACAGCCCCGCCCTTCCAGCAGACCTTCCCTCACTTTGCCCCCTTTGTCTTACAGATCTTTGGTATCTGCCTGGCCCAGAACCTTGTGAGTGACATCAAGGCAGTGAAGGCCAACTGGTGAGGCTGCCACACTGGCCAAGGCCACCTGCCTGGCCTACCCAGGGACCCCCCCCCTTCCCCTGCCACCTGCCTGGCCTACCCAGGGACCCCCCCACTTCCCCTGCCACTGTACCTGTGATGGGCAAGGCTGCAGGTGTTTCTGCTTGGACCTGAGCTCCATAAGGGGCTTGAGTGTGGGTGTGCCTCTGCCCAGGCTGCCTGTCCTGGAGCCGTGTGCATGGAGGGCGGGTGTGTCTCTATGAGTGTGCACAGGGGGCCACCATCTCGGCTGCTGTTGGGTGGCGGGCTCTCCAGGGGCCTAGGAATGGCACAGTTAAGAGGGTGCCGGCCGGGCGGGGTGGGAGGGGTCTGCCATGTCCCTGCCCAGGCTGGGACACACTTCTCTGTGCATGGCTATTAGGGCAGCCTTGGGGCCTGCTGTTGCCTGGGACACAGCCTCACGCAGCTTCAGAGCTGTCTTCTCAGCTAGCTGGGACCTTGACCCTGCCAGAAGCCCCCTTCGGCCTCAATGTGTCAGACTTTAAAATGGGTCCAAGAATTTTCTCTCCCTCGCTTGCCTCTCAGGATCAAACATGATGATGGCTACAAACTACTCAAATAAACAAAACCTTGAAAACCACTGGCTTACGCCCACCATCTCAGAGGCTCTGTCAGCTGCAGGGCCTCAGCAGTGCTGTCTGCCTGGGGCCCCGGCCTGGACCCACCCTGCCAACGTGTTTTCTTGACCTGGATAGTGTATACATTGAGCCAACCTTTAAAACTTGGTATATTTCACTTAAAAGTCCAGATCCCCAGCATCTTGTGAAGAATGGCCATCTGGCCACAGCGGCTCTTCAGTGGCATTGGCTCCTGGGACGTGCGCTTCCCGCTCTCTGAGGGACCCACCTGGCCTGTTCTGCTCACTTAAGTGCCCTGCCTGCCTGACCCTGTAGGCTGGGAATTGGCCTCCCCCACCTCTGCAAGTTTTTCCCCTGCGAATGCTGCCAGGCTGCTGTGGGCCAAACGTGGATCGAAGCCTGGGAGAGTGAAGAATAGGGAGGCTGGAGCCTGCCTGGAAGAGGCCATAGCCTGGGAAGGGTCCGGTCCTCCTGGGGGCTAAGATGGGTGCCAGCGTGCCCAGGAGAGTGGCTGATGGTTGGGATGGAGATCAGGAAGGTTTTGGGCAAGCGGAAGCTGGAAGCCTGAGCTTGGCACCGGTGGGGGAACCAGGTTTGGAGGCCATTGATGGTTGACTCCTAGGCTCACTTGGAATCTACTTCAGTCTCCCCGGTGGCCTGGAGAGGTGCCTCCTGGCCACTAGAGGGCGCGCCAGCACAGCTTTACCTGGATCTGGCTTTCCTAGGGCAACCCCACCCAGGTACAGCCCTGCGCCTGGTGTGTCCACCCTGCTTACTAGTTCTTTGGGTTTCAGGGAATTTACAGACTTCTCAAGGAGCAAACTGGCTCAGATTTAGGAAGTCTGGCTACTGTTCTCAGATCTGCACAAAGGGGTATGTGTCGAGTGAGCATTTGTGGAAGAAAGGAGACGTTTGGGCTAGTGCACAGATCACCAACTTAGATGCCCTCAGGGCCAGGTGGGTTATAAAAATAAAGGAGGCCTTTGAGTTGTGAGGTCTTTGCAGTGCGACTCTAATTTTTCCCACTATTCCTGGAGATGGGATATGGAGAGACATTGCTTTGTGATATTTTGCATGATTGAGTCTGAGTCGCTAATGGCAACTGGCCTTGAGTGACAATAAGATGTGGTGGGGACTGTGGCAAAGCACAGATTCCCACCTGAAATTGGTGGCTGTCCTTCAGTTGTAGCTAATTGCCGTATTGTAGGTACGGGAATGTAGGTAGGTCTAACGCGAGAAATCTGGAGAAGCCAAAAAGCTAGATTTTTATGTGAAGTATTCCGATTTTTTAGTTGTTGGCAACTAATGAAAAAACATCTTAAACCCTGCTAATCGAACAAAAGGTGTGGGGGCCAGCTGTGGCCCCCCTGCCACCGTAGATCCCTCTGGGACAGTCCCCCATGGAGGCCCTGGGGACTCCACCGTTCAGGAATGCTGGGAGCTGCTGCAGGTGGGCAGGGTGTGGGGCAGGTGCCCAGCATCGTGGCTCACGATGGGCCCATCCAGGTGCAGGCTGGGCGGTGTCCTCGGGTCTCTGAAAGACACGGGCTGTGGGTGGTCTCTACATGCTACAATAAACGCGGCTCACAATATTGTGCACGTACGTGTCATGTGGTTTCTGATTGTAAATGCTTTCACCTTTCATTTTCCCTCAAACCTCCCAACCTTCCTTCCTGACAAGGAAACCGGCTCAGGGGAAGGAGTTGCCCAGAGTGCACAGTTGGGATGGGGCCCCCCGGTCTGACCCCTCTTGCTGTCTTGCACTGCACCAATCCTGCCCTTCTGCGGCATCAAGGTGGAACCTAAACACTTGAAGTGCCAGCTCATGAGGGGCAGGAACCTGTCCCAGCCCAGGTGTCCGAACATCTGCTTAGGTGTGCGGAAGTAGAGGAAAGGTCAAGCTCCTGGCCCTTGTGCTGCACTCTTGTGCAGGAGATGCAAAAATAGGTAGGCACAGAAGCATTTGTGTTAGTAATATATGCTCTGAAGAAAGTAAGAGGGATGGCTAGACCGTGACAGTTGGGGTGCCTGGGAGAAGATACCACTTGGTGGGGTGTTAGGAGGGGCTGCCATCTCTGGGAAGCTCAAGGGGAACAGTGTTCTCTAGGTTTGGGTCCCAGTTGCCTTGGAGGCCCTGCCACTGGCATGGATTTGTCATGAAAGAACCTGGGATGCTGAAGAGGTGGGAGTGGGTGAGAGAGAGGCAGAGGGAAGTGAGAGAACCAGAATATATTTGGAGATGGGATAGGTATGACGGGTAGGAATGGTTGTGACCCTGGCTAGGGACCCAGGATTCTCCAAAGCTCAGTTCTGCTATGGGATATCCATCTGTCCATCTTCCATTCACTCACCCATCCACCCACCTGTGCATCGATCCATCCATCCATCCATCCATCCATCCATCCATCCATCCATCCATCCTTCCATCCACCCACCCACCCA